GAATCATCAAACCCAGATCTCTTCTGACTGCAAAGCTCATGCTGGTAACTGCTACTTTTCTGCCTTTCAGTATGTGTCCAAGTGGCCACTAATAATTAGAATCAAACCCAGATCTCTTCTGACTGCAAAGCTCATGCTGGTAACTGCTACTTTTCTGCCTTTCAGTATGTGTCCAAGTGGTTCCCACTAATAAACCCCGATGCTAATCACAGTTCATTAAACATAGTAATAAGTATTCCATAGATTCAAAAATTTCAAGGTTCATTAAAATCTGACTCTATACTATTGAACCATAACTGCAACGTGAACATGAAAGAATTACTTACTTGCACAATTTGCCTTATGCCATGTGGAATTAAAGAACTCAGACAGAATCACAACTATTTGCATTCTATCTGCCATTAAGAGACTTCTGGCACAACTATGACTCTCTGAAGTATTCTGTAACAAAAAAGAAAAGAAAAATACAATGTGAATATTTTTAAGAGCTTCCAAACAACTTGAGACAAAAAAGAAAAAAACCTTTTAAAATAATTAAAATATTTATTCTAAGCATTTTAACATTTTATTTGATAAATTCAAGTAATGTCATTAATAATAACAATTGTAATAAAACAGTAGCAGCTAACATTTGCTGATACCAGGTTCATTTGCAAGGGAAGAAAATCTTTGTTCTTAAGTAAGTGTCTGCTTCTATAGTACTCTCTCAACAATTTAGGCCCAAATTGCATGCATGTCATATTTCTTAACTTTTTGTGCATGGGAAAAAATTCTGGAAAGTTGTTCACAAAATGTAGCAGTGGTTATGTGAGCATAATGGAAATATGCTGATTTTTATTTTTTTGCCTCTTTCACACTAAATTTTTCTACAATGAACATATATTATTTACATAATTTTTTATTCTGGTGGATAAATTATCACAAAACATTTAGTTTCATCTTCTAGGTAATTTTTTGTTCAAAATCTTATAATCCACAAGAAAATGTGACACATCCAGTTTGTACCCAAAGTTTGTACCCAGATAAAAGAATATGCTTTTGCTGTAACCGGTTTGGCTCAGTGGACAGAGCGTTGGCCTGCGGACTGGAAGGTCCCAGGTTCGATTCCGGTCAAGGGCGGGCACATCCCTGGTGGAAAGTGTGCAGGAGGCAGCTGATCGATGTTTCTCTCTCACTGATGTTTCTAACTCTCTCTCTCCCTTCCTCTCTGTAAAAAAATCAATAAAATATATTTGGAAAAAAACACACACATGCTTTCTTCCCACAAATCACTTTAATAACGAAATTCATGCTATGCAAATAATAAGTCCAAGTTCCTAAATTATTTGATCCTTTTATATTTCCCTTCCCTTTTGCCCCAAGCAAGGAACTAAGTCCTGATGACCCTTCATTTTTTCAAAGTTAATGAACTCCTAGTACTTACTAAGCACAGTAAGAATCTTGGTGTTTTGAGGATACAAAAGTATTAGGGAATGCCATCAGCACTGGGCTTCAAGAAACTCCCCAGATGCATAAAGATAAGGAATTAAATAGTGTGATGAGTAATAAAAGAGAAAGACTGATAGCTCTAGAGAAGAATTAATCGACCATGTGGGGTGAGAAAAGAGGGAAGGACTTAAGGGCAGAATTCTTGCTTTGAAATCCTATATAACAAAAGCCTAATATGCTAAGTGTCCAACTGTTCAACCGTTCGACCAGTCGTTATGACGTGCACTGACCACCAAGGGCAGATGCTCCAACCAGTAGATTAGCTTGCTGCTGGGGTCTGGTGGATAGGGACTGGGCGAGATGGGCAGGACATGCCCTGGAGCCCTCCTGTGGTCCCTCCCCGGCCCTGATCGTGCACCCGTGGGGTCCCTCGGCCTGGCCTGCACCCTCTCGCAATCCGGGACCCCTCAGGGGATGTCGGAGAGCTGGTTTCGGCCCGATCCGCACAGGCCAGGCTGAGGGCCCCCACCGGTGCATCAATCCATGCACCAGGCCTCTAGTATCTAATGTTTATTTTAGTATGGTTACCCTCTCTGAGGCTTAGTTTTGCCCTCTCATTAAAAGATACATCCAAATAAATGCTTGCTTTTAAAATAGTGAATTAAAGAAAGCACTTTAAAAGCTCCTTTCTTGAAATTGCTTTCAGAGCAATATCAGTCATAGAAGAAAATTTCTATAATCACTTAAATATTACAACATAGCCTAAGGAGTCAGACAAGTCTCAGTCACTGGCTGACAATCTTGAACAGCTGAGGTAACCTCTCAAAGGTTCAGTTTCATAATCATGAGTCTTATATAACATACATTCATCACTTGACACCTAGTAAGTAATTGATATACACTTTCTCACCTACCTACCTTGCTGCCAACCTGAAATGTTCTAGGTGGGTATAGTTGACTAAGTGTAATCAGTTACATGAGTTGAAGCTTCATAAGCAGACGACTGGCTATTTAAAAAATCAATACAGCCTTAGCTGGTTTGGCTCAGTGGATAGAGCGTCAGCCCTTGGACTTAAGGATCTCAGGTTAGATTCTGGTCAAGGGCACGTAACTTGGTTGCAGGCTCAATCCCTGGCCCTGGTTGGGACTTGTGTGGGAGGCAACCAATCAATGTGTCTCTCTCACATTGATGTTTCTCTCTGTCTCTCCCTCTCCCTTCCACTCTCTCTAAAAATCAATGGAAAAATTTCCTTGGGTGAGGATTAATAACAACAAAAAAATTAATATAGCCTTGTTGGTGTGGCTCAGAGGTTGAGCGTGGACCCATGAACCAGGAGGTCAAGGTTCGATTTAGGGTTAGGGCATATGCCCAGGGTTGCGGGCCCTATCCCCAGTAGGGGGCACACAGGAGGCAGTTGATCAATGATTCTCTTATCACTGATGTTTCTCTCTCTCTCTCCCTCTCTCTTTCTCTCTCTGAAATCAAAAACATATTTTTTTAAATCCATACAGCTCAGTCTGTATAAGGGGTCAATGTGTGGGATAGTTCAGTTGAGGAAGACATCAGTGTAGTTGGGAGAAATTAGGAAGTGAGATTTGAACTAAGCCCTATACTGAGAAAGGGAAGAGGATTCTAAATTAGGAGAATAAAATGATCAATGGGTGAAAATGGAATGATTACATGGTATTCAGGAAGTATTCAGTAGGCTAATATAGCTAAATGGAGTGTACTGTGAAAGTAGAGGCAGCAGAGGGTAAATTTAGGGCAAGAGTCTTGAGGGTCAAGAGATTCAGACAATGAGAAATTAAAAAAAATTTTTTTTGAGGACAGTGACATGAAAAGCAGAGTTTGGAGAACACAGGTCTCTAGGTATAATATGTAGGGTGAGGAGGCAGAGAACATTTCCATAGTTCAGATATGATGAAAAGATGGTGGCAACCATGGAAATGAAAGGGAAGTGATGAATAATCCTAAGTACATCATTAATGATATAATGGTTCTCAATGCTCCAAATGCATGACTTACTTAATCCTTATAACAACTCTATGTAGTAGTATCCTTCTGAATTCAAACCCAGCCTCTTCCACTACATGGCTTTGGATAAGTTACATAATCACTCTGAGGCTGTTTCTTAAACCTTAATATCCATCTATATATGCCTAGGTTCCTCATCTGAACAGAAGTTCCTTTGGGAAGAAAACTTTGTATTATATCTTTGTATTCCCAACATCTAGTAAGTGACCAAAAAACACTGGCCCTTGGTTTATATTTAAAATTATTAATACTCAAATACTCATAACCACTTAGCAGAACCCTAACCACAATAAACGCAACCATCCATTTTCATCATGCCCGTTTGGCAAAAAGTAAACAACCAAGCAGATTATTTGCACAATAAATCCATAATCCCAAACTGCACTCCACACATGCATTATCTCCACTTATATGTATCAAAAACACCTCAGAAGCAACATTTTCAAAATCAAGTTCATGATCTCCACCACCACCACCACCACCACCAAACAGGTTCCTCCCTCCATTTGGGTAAATAGCAACCCTACTCACTAAGCAACTCTTATAAAAACACTGGAAATCATAATTTCCTTTCTTTCACTCTCCACATTCAATTAACTACTAAGTCTTGTCAGTTTTATCTCCTAAATCTATCCATTTTTTCCCATTACAATGGCCCACATGTAGTCTAGCCACCATCATTTCTCTTATCACTGTAAGAGTCTCTTCATTTCCCCACACCAACTCTTCCTCTACCCTCCCAGTCTGTCCCTCCATTCCCCTCATATAGCCTGCCAGAATGGTCTTTTAAAGTACAAATCTGATCATGTCATTCTGCAGAATTAAATCTTTCACTAACATTGCACTGCTTTAAAATCAAAGTCTAAAACCCTTAACATACCCTACCAGGCCCACATGACCAGGAACCTGCCTATTTCTTCAGGCTCAGCTCACTAGTCTCCTCATGGCTCACAGAGCTTTGAGTTCTTTCTAGTCCTCAAACACAGCAGACTCCCATCTCAGTCTTCACATCTGCCATTTCTTCATATGTATACCTTCTCTCCTGAACCACATCCTCTCAAATTTTAGGTGTCAGATTTGTCACTGACCACTCTATCTTCCCTCAGCCCTAGTGAAGATCAGCACCCTGTTATGTGCTTTGGTATCATCTGAGGTTTTTTCCTGCACAACACTTATCACACTTGAGCTAAGTAATTACTTGTATAATAAAATGTTTGTCAGTTTTCCCTATCAGACCACAAGCTCTGCTCATTCACAGCTACATCCCTAGTAACTACCACTAGTCAGCACTCAATTTTTTGACTGAATACATAAGCAGCATTACATTTTCTGATCTCTAATGAAAGATACATTATTATGTTATGCTATGTTCCAATTTTGTCTATATTCCTAAGAATTTATTTATTAATCTACACTAAAAGTATGTTGAACACTTCTAGATACACACCCCCAATCACTAGCACCTTCATAAACAATTGTACATATCTATATGTCTATCTATATACATTTTAAACAAACCAAGTAGAATAAGATAGAGTTTAGTAATTCAGAATATGTGGGGCCAAAGTATCCTGGCAACCACTCTGATGATATTGAGCAGCTCAATGAAACCACATTCCTATCAGTTTAAAGGAAAAGAAGAAAGTACGACTCTAAAGAAGGAGGAATCAATCAGTTCTACACTCAGATTTCTACAAATCACTGTATTCTTTACCTTAAGATAACACTGTATGTGATCCTGTCCCAGTAATTCCAAGAGGAAGTAAAAAGAAAATAGAATTCTCATCAGATAATTCTATTACGATTAAATGAATTAACTTGCTGTACCACAGAAACAGCTTGCTAATTTCTCCTTTGATTCTTTTTTTTTCATTGTTATATTCCCCTCCTCCCTCAATCAAGCCATGGACATAGATTCACTCTAAATAGATGTGAAAGGCCCTAGCCAGTTTGGCTCAGTGGATAAGAGTGTCAGCCTGCGGACTGAAGGGTCCCAGGTTCGATTCAGGGCAAGGGCACATGCCCAGGTTGCGGGCTCAATCCCCAGTAGGAGGTATGCAGGAGGTAACCAACCAATGATTCTCTCTCATCATTGATGTTTCTATCTCTCTCCCTCTCCCTTCCGCTCTGAAATCAATTAAAAAAAATATTATTTTTAAAAAGTAGCATGTGCTTACTGATTAAACTGATTTAAATGAAAGAAGTTTGAGTATAAGAAAATATATTACTCTTGAGAAAAAATCTCCCACGCTCACAAAGGACAACTGATTCCTTCAAATTCACTCCTAAGAAACTCAAGAAACATTATCCCATATGTACCTTACTGCACATGATGGTTCAATTCTCAAACCAACCCAAAAAAGCCTACTGAATCCATGAAGTACCTCAGAACCACAGAAATCATACTTTTGAACTAATATACCACATCCAGCTCTGAGGAAAGGAGGGGAAAGAGAAAAGTCTAGAATGAGTTGGAGAGGAAATGCAGATTGGGGAAAGGATTTTCTGCCTTTTTTTTTTTTTAATCTCTTTACCCTCTTCCTTTCACACAAGGGTGAGGCGAGCCAGGTGCCCAGGTCACTGGTAGAATCTGAGAGGCACGAAGGAGAAGGAAGTGTTTGGCACGTCCACACTGGGAAGGGGAATTCATGCAGAAATATGTACAGATTGCGTGATGCCCCTAATACTGTACTAGAGTTTGCAGTAATTATTTAACCTCTTCTTAATTCCACAGTATCTACATACATGAAAAAAGCTTTGCTGCCTCAAAAGACCACGCTTTGCATCATGATCACAGTCATTCTGGCCATAAAACTAACCTTTGCTCAAAACAGAATATGATGCCATATAATACCATATTAACAGGACAAGTCTTGGGGACTTTATTTTTAAATCATAGTGAGATGTACATATGTATATGTGTATGTGTACATATATACATATACATATATATATATCCCCCTTGCCATACCCAATAGAAGAATGCCTGAAAAATATTGCATGTAAACCTAAATTTATTTAAACTACTTTGAAAACTGGCTCTTTACAGAAAGACTGACCACAGGGGTTATTTAATGCAATAAATCCCCTCTTTATATAAAAAAAAATAGATTATGTTAAGTGATATCAGGCTGACTTAAAACAAGATGTAACTATATACAAGTCTGTATTTTGCCAAACCAACTATGATTTATGAAGTAATTCCAACCACATTTTCATGAGATTACTTGTGCTCTCAATACCAGGGAAACTTCCCCACTCCACAATCCCAGTTACTCATGGTTCTCCTTTACAAGGCATATCCGGCCCCCACCTCGTGACTCCTACCAGCCCTGACAGGCTAATCCTTTCCTACTCTAGACCCTATAAGGTTCCTAGGAACAGGAAGGTATCTTCTGTGTCTTTTTGTTGTTGTTATTAATCCTGACTCGAGGATATTTTTTCCATTGATTCTCAGAGTGGGAGGGAGGGAGGAGGGGCGAGAGATAAAGACATCGATGGGTTGCCTCCTGTGCACGCCTCGACCTCAGGCCTGATCGGGCCTGCAACCCAGGTACATGCCCTTGACGGGAATCGGATCCTTGGGTCGGCGGACCAAGGCTCTAACCACCGAGCAAAACAAGCCAGGGCTTTCTCTTTTTTTAAGTCCTTTACAGCACCCACCCACATGACCAGAAAAGCTCTACGGGTACCAAGAATAGGAGGTAAATTTACCGTTTTCTAAAATTTTAGCTCCCATTTACTAAGAACAATTACTATGTGCCAATCGTCTAAGAGTTCTTTTTATCCCCATCTTACAGATGAGAAAACAAGCACAGAGAATGCAACTTGCGGGGAGTACAGGGCTAATAAGAGGAGAAAACTAAGACTCTAAAATAATTCAAGGACAAACTTCTATAAAGTGTCTGTGTGTGTGTGTGGGGGGGGGTGTCTGAACATTTCTGGCTACAAACTTCAAGCTCCTAACCCCTACAGCTTCTCCACTCCACCTAGGATTTCAGCGGAGGCGGGTCCTTCCTGGGGACTCCAGGTGGAAATGGGAAGCTGTGGTGGAGTTTGGGGAAAGGAGTAAAGGAGGGGAAGGAAAGGAAAAGGCTAGGGGAGGTCATAGCTATCTGTACACAGTAGGTACCAAGAGGATGCCCGACAGCAGCTACGAAGGCAAACATTCAAGCCCCAAGCCCTAAAACGCCATCCGCTTTTTTGATGCTCAAACTCTCCAGTCTAGTCCAACCCCTTTTCCTGACAGAAGGGGGAACTGAGCCCCGCCCCCCAACCCCTCAGTTAACCTCACCACTCCCTCCTTCCCCAACCCTCCCGCCTTAGGTTCCGGGTGTGCTCCTCTACCCACCCCCACGGCGCGGCTGATGTTGTCCATCTTGCTGGCGACCTGTTGGAAGAGGGGGTAGCAGGTCTGGCAGAGGCGCACCGGCCGGGCGCCGCGCACCAGACACCCCGTCAGCTCTGCGCTGCTGTTGGCGAAGTCCAGCAGCAGGTCCCGGCACTCGGGATCCAGATCTGGCAGGTCCGGGGGCAGGGACTGTGGCCCTAGCCTTCCTCCCCGCAGCAGGGTCAGAGACAAGTCCTCCACCTCCAGCAACTGCTGCTCCGACAGCAGGTCGTACAGGACCCGGTGGGGGCTGCCGTCCACGGCGAGCGTGCCCAGAGCCAGCCCCGACCACAGCAGCGGCACCAGCAGCAGCCACCACCT